TTGCGTCTCGTGCTCCTTGACTCCCACCCTCGCTTCACGCGATGCCAGATGATCTCTCACGCAGGTAGGCGATACGCCATAGCCTGTAGGGTGGGCCTAGACTGCATGCCGTCTACACCTTCCCTGTTTTCCACGTTCATGCGTATGCCTTGAGTGTGTTGAGGAACTCCACGGCAAGTGGGAAACGGATGGTATAAATCTGGACACGCTCCACCAGTCTACCGTCCTCATCGCGTCGGTCATCTCTGCTTTACTAAACATTGATCCAATACAAGAGCCTCTCAATGATACCCTGCCCAAGAGCCTCACAACATCACTCTTCTCTCTTCCACTGCCCTTCCTTTATGGTGGCTTAGGTCCATTCCCACGTCCTTCCACCACATGGTTACTCAATCGCCGTCTCTCCATCCTGCCTCCCTGAACATGGGCACGGCCGCCAATCCATCTGGACAATGTGCCGCCGAGGCAGTGCGACTTGCCGCGGCAGCCTTGATTTATATGCACGGTACTGGAGATGCTGGTAACGCCGTCGACCCTTCTCAACGCTGTCTTTCGCCAGACATCTTCCAGGAAGACGTGACGCAAGCCTCGGAGGCATGTTATGACGGAGATCCGACATTGTCCGCGGTCCAGGAGCTGCATGATGGACCATGGGACAGCCTCATCCCCCCCGATACTTCTTTCGGCCTCACAGACTTCATACCAGACGGGGTGTGTGGCGACGTGGCATCTTCTGTCAGTAGTGTTTGCTTGTGCAACGACGGGTGCGACATTTTCCCGTGCAACGACGCTTGCGATATTTGCCTGCGCAGCGGTGAATGCGACGATACGGTGTCGCAGGGGGCCTGCTGGGAGCAAGGCGTAGATTTCGCCGGCTTGACCCCGCTCGATGTCTGTCTCGCCAAGCATACTCTGGACATGGATCTGTTCATGAAGCCCTTGGACGCAACGTCCCTAGAGGAGGCGTTTGCTGAGCTTGACGCAGAACGGCACCCTGCGCAGGCCTTGAGCTCTGCCTCGCCAACATTGCCAGTCAACACACCGGCAACGTCAGCCGAGCGTGGTCCGCGTTGCAGCACTGTTGCCGGCCCTCTTTCCAACGACAGCAGCGACAGCTGCGCGCCATTGTCGCTGCCGTCTCCGCCGCCAGCGACTCAAGCAAGGCGACTGCTACCGACACAGGGAAGACCCCGCGAGGCACGGCAGCGCGATCAAGCCGCAGCGTTGAGTCAACGCGTAGTACGAACGATGGGAGGGAAGCAGCAGCCAAAGACGGGGCAGAGGCAACCGGGCAGAGGAGCAGTCAAGAAACAACAGGGAGCCGTCCAAAAACGACAACGCGCATCAGTCCGACGACGTACGCCACAGCAGTGTGAAGCCCGTCAGGAGTATTTTCTGGCATCAGCAGTCACACTCCAGAGGAACAACATCGAGCTAGTGTTCAAACCTCAGCGGAGAAGCCAGGTCTGGGTGTCCGACGCCAGCCCGGAAAGAATCGAGTTTGAACCCCGAAGTAGCATAGAGACAGCGCACGGGACACTGAGCTGGATAGAGGTCCACCCGGGCGGCACCGCTAGCTTTGCTGTCCGGCTGTGTTGGAGCGCAGATCAAAACGTTTTCTGCGGCCAGGACGAGATTCGCGGAAAGAGGCTGGCCATCAGCTTTGAAATGGCACAAGCTCTGCTGCTAGCTGTCGGGAAAAGTCAGCCGTTAAATTATGAGTCTGTCAGGTTGTTGAGTGGGAGCATCACGAGACGACGGGTCACACGGACGTAGGTGCGTCTGCACGGAACTACAAGAGCTTGCTGGCGGCTGCACATGGCATGCCAATATGTCCGACGGGAACGGCCACACGATGGCAAGACAACGACAAACAGTCAAGATGGTCACCGGGGGGCAACCGCATTGGGAAAAGGGGCCAAAAGAGGCTTCTTGCGCTATGACGAGCATCTCTCCTTCCCAGTCATGTCTATCTCTCTTTCCTAGCCACCTCTATCTATTTTCCCTAGTCATATCGACTCGTCGCTGTCCACATCGTCCTCGCTGTCCTCGCCGCCGGTGCCATGGATGCCCCCACCATGACTGCAGCTCGGAAACGTGAAATCGCTCTCTCCAACCCGTTCGTGACGTTCCAGGCATTCGGTCAACCACTGATGGCTGACTATCCAGAGCGGCTCCCGGTCGGGTCGTGGATCATGCATGAGGACGTGCTGGACGAGCGAGTCGTGCCGATTGAGTTCCTTTTCGGTGACGCAGAAATGCGTCAAGACATCTGGCCGTACGCCCGTCCTGTGAGTGCCACCTAGTCTGATAATGGCGTTGCGCACGCCGTCGTAGCTCTCACTCCCTTTGGGCAAAGGAAAGCTGCTCGTGAAGGCGATGACACAGCCTGTGAGCGGGGCATATTTTGGATTCCGCCGCGTATTCAAAAGATAATGTGACACGGGCAGAAACTTGCCTTGGTCATATGATCCTTGGAGCCATTCGAAAGAAACGACAGCCGCCCGCAGCTGCGTGGCTCGGAAGGCATCCTGGTGCAGATATCGAATTCGGTGGTCCGTAGAACATAAGACTTGCGTCGTTTCGTAAACCTGCTCATGGTAGCTCCCGCCGAGCCTGTAAATCCAGGTCTTGACCTCTTGCAGAGAGATCTCATTAGGCAGTGGGCAGCTCACGGCGATGTTCAGTGCCGCAAACATGTCAAATTGATGCGGGAATATTAGTAGGCCATGGCCTGGCGGCCGTGCAGTCTTTGAATACAGTCGGGCAGTCTTCAGCTGGCAGGCTGGCAGTCGGGCGATCCTTGACGCGCATTCGCGACCAGCCCTCACCTTATAGACATACGCTGTACATGTACAGAAACAGACACTCTCTTTGCCCTTCTACTCGCCGCAAACCCATCACGCAGAAGTGTATTTCGACCATGGCCGCTAAATGACGAGCAGGAAGCCAGTCGTGATTTTCTTAGATGGATTTAGTGGCTTGCGCGCGCCGAAACGAATGGTGAAAAGCCAAAGGCGACTTGAGCGATTAGACCCGGTCCGCCGAGCGGACAAAAGCAGGCATTGGCCGACGGGCAACGACAGTGAGCGCACAGACCATGTGCTGTCTGATTCAGGTTCGGATCGGACGCGCGTTGGACAGCGTTGTTCGCAATTTGCTTGCCAAAGTTAGGCTTGTACTGTCAGGCATTTTTTTCGCGCTCCTTAAGGTATGTGGTGAGGCGCGGACGGTACGTGTCTTGCAGTCGGCTGCCGGTCAGAAGCACACACAGACATTCGTAGCGCAGAGCAGGGCCGTTCACACGTCATGAGTGCCCCACTTCCGCTTCTCGTCCACGAGGCGACAGACGAATGCTTCACAGGTCTGGTCAAGGTCGTGATTGCCTGTCCACTTCCGCAACAGGTGAGTATGGAACTCACGAAGCTTTGGATTCAGTCGCTCGGCGGGACCTATCAAAAGCATGTCGGCTCGACAACGACGCACGTTTGCATCGAGCCGAGCCAGTACTATTCCTCGAGCCACGATGTCAGAATGGCAAGATCGAGGAACATCGTTCTTGTCACTCTGGGCTGGCTACAGATTCTTACGCCGAGGGCAGGTTCGTGAATAGTTGCGACTACGACCTTGCTGCATTGTGTGCACACGCCGCTCCGTTGCGGGGGTGCGTGATCGCTTTCACATCCAGCTATCCGCGATCTCGTGGCGTTCCTGGTTTCAAGCTTGTCGAAGAGCATATCGTCAATCTGGGCGGGATCTGCGATCAGGCTAGCGAGCCTATCCACACCCTGACACACCTTTGCGCGACCGAGGAGGAGATTCGTCATCAAGGCATTTACGTGAAAAATGTCCTCCATCGGGCGAAAAGCGACGAGGACAAGGCCTTCCATCTCGTCAACCACCAGTGGCTTGTGGAATGCCTGAGGCAGGGAAGAAGGGTAGAAGAGGACCTTGATGTCCTGCCACTGTCCTGGTGATGAATATATCGACTCGCGAAGTAGACGCGGAGAGGGCAAAACGGAGGCAAAGCCGGGAAGACAGGACGTAGAGACGGGGCGAGCTGAGGATGGCTGAGTACGGGGATATCACAGCCGAAAACAAGGGAACAGACAAGAGAAAAAGAAATGTCAGGATGATAGAGGCCTATGGTCAACTTGAGCGAGCATCATGCGTCTCTGTTGGTGCCAGCCACTGCTGTGTGTGATCTTACTGAAGGTCTAGTCCTCGAAACAGGGGCGAGCGGATTCGCATGCAACCAAGAGTGCTGGCACGTCAGGTCAGCTTAAGAGCAGATCACGAACATCTCTCTACAAAGGCGGCTGCTCCCAGCACACACCAGCTTCCGAATAGAACTTGTTTTTCTACTTCATACCCTCGCCAACCAACCTCCGTGATTTCGTCATGCTGCCTGACCTGCCAAGCTTTCCCGCGTCCTGCAGTTGTCACTGCTGGCCTGCTTTCACGCAGTCCTTGCTCATCAAGGTGATCAAGGGAAACGACAATTTCTGACGAATTGCGTGGCGCTCTACGCCCCAGGCTCACCGTTTCTTCATGGATGGAAGCCAAAGCATCTTTACTTCATCACCAGCCATGCCGGTCTTGGCTCCGGCCCGGATATCACACATGAGGTCAGTATGCTGGGGTCGCTTCATGCTGGAGCACTTTCACGTCGACATTCGCACGGATACAAGCAACAATCGAAGGTATCCTTCAACTGATGAACTAATCGAGGAGTAAGCTATCAGCTACGCCATTCTCTAGGAAAATAACTCGTGTTGTCTTCCTCTTCGCTCTCGTCCTCGTCCTCCTCTCGGTCCTCTTCTTCACTCTCTTCGCTTTTGTCTTCGTCCTCCTCCCGGTCCACTTCTTCACTTTCTTCGCTCTCTTCTTCGTCCAGCCTGTCGTGTATGTACGGACCAACATGTACTAGAGAGCCCTGTTGCGAGCAGGCGTCTAGCCAACCATGATTGACGAAGGAGACTTTGTGGAAGTACGAGAGGACAGCTTGCGGAAGCTTGTTGTATGTCGCTCGCGAGGCCACAAAGTGAGTAGTATCCTTCGAGAGACTAAATAATGATACCCCTCCAAGATGAACGACTTCTTTCTCAAGCTGCGCCTTGGTCATATAAGGGGATTCGTCGGCTACGACAATGCCACAGTTATACAAAGGCCTCCCGGGGTCGAATCGAGCCAGGGTGGTTTCTTCCTCGCTTTCCTCACGGTCTTCCTCACTTTCCTCACGGTCTTCCTCACTCTCCTCACTCTCGTCACTCTCTTCCTGCCTCACTCTTGCCTTCCATGTTTTCCCCAACCGCTGTCGACAAGGTAGCTTCTAAGCAACGAAATATAGCATTGATATGGTCAATGCATTCCATGCGCTCTGCGTCACTCTCGCCCTCCGTTTCTTTTTCGACCGCCTTCATCACACGGAAGTAGAGAATTCGGAGTAGGATGGTGATATTGCCACAGCATTCCACGCGTTGCGCCTCGCTCTCTTCCTCGCTCTCTTCCTCGCTCTCTTCCTCGCTCTCTTCCTCGCTCTCTTCCTCGCTCTCTTCCTCGCTCTCTTCCTCGCTCTCTTCCTCAACTTCTCCCACAATCGCTTCCCCGCTCTCTTCCTCAATTTCTTTCTCACTGTTTTCCTCATCCTCCCCGCGAAGGGTCCATGGTTCTTGAGAGATGGGATATTCAAGGGGGTCCACAAAGCGGCCAGCTGCGAATGAATCTTGAAGCCAGTCGAAAGAGACAGTGACACCGCCTTGCCGTGCCACCTGGAGGCGAGTCTGTGGTGAATCTCGGTCGCGATCCTCAGAAGTGCATAACACGTCGGTGGTTGAGAGGACCCGTTCATGGAACGTCCCGCTGAGCCTCTGGATGCCCCGTTTGACATCCTTGATCGATATCTCAGCTGGCAAGGGGCAGTTGATAGCAACGCTAAAGTTCTTCATCATGGTGATGATCTGTTATATGGTGCTGCACGCGGTGTGGTTGTGTCAATCGCGTCCGAACGTGAGCCAATTGCGTCTGAAGTGAGCCATGTCTTATCTCTTGTACTCGTCTGCTGTGATGCAGGTGTGGGTACACTGTCTGTCTGATCTTACATAGGGAATTTGGGCTTCGAAGATTCATTCTAGAAAGGTCCATTCTCAAATCCCGGGCATGCGTCTGTTCCTGCCAATGAAATTCAAGTTACGCACGTCTTTACGTCAGGCCACCTACAGCCCTGAATCGGACTCAGACGCCGTACAAAGTGCCACAAGGTCGAAAGCAAACATTAGACCTTGACAAACAGCAGTCGCGCGGCCAGCATCCTGTTCTTGCACTGAGGCGCGGCCGTCATCGAGCCGGGATCGTCATCACTTGTGGTCAGCCAACACACGGTGTCATCATCTTGGGGTGTAATACAACTACGGAAGAGCGGTGGAGTATTGACAGAGCAGACGGTATTGGGAAGAATAGTGTACACGGTCCGCATCCATGAGCTATAGAACTCAGTAACTCCAAGAACTCCTTCCATGGCCAAGTGACCTCCTAAAGAAACCTACACACACAACCAATGCCATGCCTGCCCAAGAGAGGTTTACACCTGGAAACAGCGGTTCGCCAACGAAAGCAGGGCTTGTTTCCGACGTGATGACTCGGTCCCGTGTGGTGCCGTATCGGCGGCTTTAGCGTAAGACATGCCCATGGCAGGGAAGATCTCAGTCTGCTGCTGACGTGTCGTGCCTACCATGTCGCCTTCCAGAAACATAGATGGGAACACTGTGTCTCCCATGTTGACGAAGTCATATTCGTTGAACATGGGAGCAGTCTCATCTGTGTCCTTCCCGCTGCTACCACTCGACAAGGGGCCACTGGACGACGAGCTGCTTGCCGACATGGTGGCCAGTGGCGCCTGAGGCGACACCGACAGCTCTCCGTCCAGGCTCGAATAGGACTCCGCGCCGTCGCTCGAGCTGCCCGAGAGACAGGTAAAGTAGGACGACGGGGGAGATCCGACTGCATTGACGACCAAGTCAGCCGCGTTGGCTGCGTCGCCCGCGTCAGTCGAACCTGTCAAGTCGGCCGAAGCGGCCGCCGCAGGCGGGCTGCTAGGTGCTGGCGTTATGGCGTGCCTGGCTGCGACCGTCTCAAAGTTGTCGGGCCCCAAGGTGGTCTCTTGTGGGATAGGAGACCACGTCAAGCTTCGGATCAGACCATGCTGAGACTCGTAGGCCTCGAGGTGGCCATCGTGGCCGATGACCAGCACCGCCACTCTGGCTTTGTAGTAGCGGTAGAACGTGTCCGACTTCTTGAAGATGCCGGTCTTTCGGTTTTCGAACCCTTTGCGAAAGTCTTTGTTGCTCTTCCCGCGCGTCATGGTGGAAGAACTGGCCTCGTGCGGAGACAATCTACCAGGGTGACGCTTAGTGGTGGACAATCAATAACAGAACCTGGCTTGAAAGAACCCTGATCGCTGCGAGCCGCTTCTGCGTTTTCGTTCCTTTGAACTTTCGCCTTTGGCTTTTTGCCTTGTGACACAGGGACGAAGGGAACGAGGGAGGGTCGTTGAATTTATGTCGCCTGCGGTAATCCCATCAGCAGCATTGCGGGTGTTCCGGGGGCTTGCGCTGTGTGGTTCTATTTTCGTGGAGCCTCCTCGACTTGGGGCGACTGTATAGGCCCGGCGTCTAGAAAGCAATGCCGTCGCACGGTCCGGTTGGTGTTCAGGTCCGGCCTCCGTCTTTTGCAATCTCACATCCAGCCGCCGAAGCAGGTCCTCCGAAACAGGCGAGTGGGGCTACGGGCGCGGCAACACGGCGTTTCGCATGGGGGACCGGCGCACGGGACTGGTCAGGCAGACGTCCAGGCCACCGCCCGTCGTTGCCGCCTGTTTATTTTGAGCAGGCGCTGGTAGCCTCCAATCTTGATGCCATTTTCGAGATTGTAGGTAACGGCCGGCGCTTGCGATCGGCGCTTATCCATCGGAACGGCGTACGCGCCATGTCACAGAGGGCGCCTGGGTGCGCCGTCTTGGAGCTCATCTTGACACCAAGTGTGGGTTTGATCCGTGCTGTCACGGGCCCTGGCGTCGCTTCAATTGCTTTGTCAACTTTGGCATCTCTCCCACCCAGCAGCACACCCAGCATGCATCAAGCGCCCCATAGGATCTGATGTAGCCCCTTAAACCTGGATCATGCCCGGGCGGCGACCAGGCATCATTCAGGCGGTCCTCTATCTGCCCATCTGCCATTGTGCCCTTTGCCACTTCCGCTCCTCGCCCCTACAACACTGCCGACTGCGACAATGGAGGCTTTGCACTACTACATGCTCTCTTTCTATACCCTCATAGTTGCACGCCTCGTAGCCCGCCCTCTGCGGCAGGCCTTTTCCTACGTACACGTGCTTTACGCCCAGCATCTGGCCTATCCATTGCTCGTCCGCCGGCAGCACTGGACGGGCGCCACCCGATGGGAGGCTCTGGCCGTCCTCTCGTACGCTGGCGTAAACATCGCCCTTCTGCTGTACCCCTTCAGTGCCCTGCCCACGCTGAGAGAGGTGGAGAGACGAGCGGGCGTGGCTGCATTTGTTAATCTGGTCCCCCTCTCCATCGTCATTCGAACGAACGTCCTCACCTCCCTGTGCAACGTACCTCTCGGTACCGTCAACCTCGTCCATCACTGGATCGGCAGGGTCGCCATCGCTCAAGCGTTGCTCCACGCTTTCGTGGTCCTCGCTCTGCGGCCGAGGCCTGGTGCCGTTGTCACGTCGGGATACATCGTAAGTGGCACTTATCACTCGCCCAAAGGCGCTGTACAGAGTAGAGACTAAGATCTTGCCAGGGACTCAGCACGCTGATGCTCATTCTGCCGTTGTCTGTGAGTGTAACACGTCGGCGTCTTGGCCGCTATTTCTTCGTCACCCACCTCGTCCTGGCAATCTCGGCATTGGCCGGTCTGGTGTGGCATGCTTATCTTCTGCCCGCGCTCGCAAGCCGTGCGCTCATTACGGTGGGATGTTCTTGCTGGATTGCTGCGGCTTGCGTTCGCGCCGTCTGGTGGTATCGACAGGTCACAGTCCGCGTGCTCCGACTGGAACTCGATGACGACGTCGCCCTCGTGACCGTGCACGCGGACGCGCCCATCCGGGCCTCGGCTGACGATCATTTCAACATCTACTTTCCGGCCTCTTTCCCCCGCTCGCTCGTGCCGGGCGTCCACGGCCACGCGATGAAGCCCTTGTGGTTTAAGCCCGGCGATCTGGCCTCGCCGGATGGGGTCCGCACCATCTCGTTCCTCATGGGGCGCGATGGCACACTCGCGAGCCAGCTCGAGAGACTGGTGGAAGGCGCTGCGCTGAAGCTGGACGGTCCTTACGGACAGAAGTCGGACTTTCGCCAGTACGAGGACGTCATGCTGGTGGCTAAAGGCGCGGGCATTTCCGGAGTGCTGCCTTATGCGCTGCAGCTCGCTGAGCGACGGAAGAGCGATAGCGAAGTCAAGAAAGACATCCAGCGCCTGCAGCAGGAAGAGACCGAGCTCGTGTTGAGCGCGTCGAGCGCGGCGGGGGAGCACCGACAAAGCTTCCAACGTCGACTGGACGCGGTTCGCAAGGAGCGAACATCTCTGTCGCGTGTGCTCTTCCAAGACAAAACGCAACGAGTCGACCTGTTGTGGATGCTGGAGAACGAGAAGCAGGAAAGATGGACAGCCGGCTTCTTTTCTGCATTGCAGCGTCTAGACCCAAACAACGTAAGTCTGCCTGTCCTTCTTCCCGTGGGTGGCTGCTATGACGTGAAGATGCGGTGCTACTTTCAATTGTCGTACTGACGCCGCCTCGTTCCAGAGATTACTTGTGGTCTGGTGTCTGTATCCCGGCCCCCGCACCTCCAGGCCCCGACCGTTCCAGCCTTCTGATCACTGGAAGTGCACCTCTGCCGCGCCGGGCGGGGCAGACGTCATGGAGATGATGACGAACAGAATTCGGGAGAAGAGTGCACGGACGCGAGGCGAAATGATTGTCATCAGTACGTGACCGTTCTTTCCTGCCGTCGTGCCTGCTGGGTGCTTCAGAGACTAATCCTGTTGGTACGGTTCAGGTTGCGGAGACCCAGATTTTACCATGCGCATGCGTGCTGGTGTAATTGCGGCCATGGGCGGCCGCACGTTCATCGAGTTTGTTGAGTCCGAGTATCAGCCGAGGTCGCATCGACCGATTGATGCCGTCGTTGCGGGTCAGGCCGGCGGAAGGCGTGCTGGCAAGAGGGTGTGGGCCGGCAAGAGAAACGCGGCGTAGAGGGCAGTGACGAGAAAACGGCTACATGAAGATGCCTAGAATAGAGTTTTTCAATGCTGAATCGTAGCCACGAGCCTTGCCGCACGCGTCTCCACGCGTCGCCACGCGCCTTGTGCTCAACATATGACCGGACACTACTTTCGCGATGTCTGTGTGTATTGTACAGTACAGTATGTGTGTCCAGCAGAGTGTCTTGCGGTATGGATGGGTTGCTCTGGCGAAGCCCTCCAGCCCAGATGGGAACCTAGCTTTTTGTCGCAATAGATTCAACGCCCCACGTCTTCCATTCGATCTTGATCCGGTTCCGTTTGCTCTCTTTCATCGCCGCCTCTGACATTCGTTCGGCGGAACTGAAAATAAATCCCCTAGATGTCGGTTGTGACTTTTGACTCGCACTAGCCTGTTGCTTTCGGCAATTCGTTTTCTTTTTCTGGGCTCGCTGCGAGGCAACGCAATCGACCTATAAACCCACGCAGCTCCATCCAGGTTTACTCTCATCATAACATTGTCAGACACAACTTGCCCCCTCTGGTTCCATTCACTACAGACAATCGATATGGCCCCTAAGCAGAAACGTGAGACGGACGGCGATTCATCTAAGCCGCTCTCCGGTTGCGTTATCACCGTCTGTGGCAAGTTCAATCGAACACACCAGCAGATCGAGAAGGATATCAAGACGCTTGGAGGCACCTACAAGAAATCCTTCTCCGAGAAAATTACGCACCTCATAGCCACCCGGGAGTCGTACAATAAGCCCTCCGACCTTGTTAAGAAGGCCAAAAAGCAGGACGGCTGTAAAATCGTCGATGTGAAATGGCTGGAGAAGTGCTCAAAGTCCGGGTCGAAGGTCAACACCACACCGTACCTTCTCGAGCAGCAGGCCGAGAACAAAGAGGACATCTCCGACAGTCAAACCGGCGACGATGCCGTCAGTGAGTCCGGCAACGACTCTAGCGACGACTCTGGCGACGACTCTGGCGACGACTCTGGCGACGACTCTGGCGACAACTCTGGCGACGACTCTGGCGACGGCTCTGGCGACGGCTCCGGCGACGGCTCCAGCGACCAAAGGGCCGAGCCCTTGAAAACATGTACATCTGTGTGATTGACACTCTTAAAGACCAAAATGTGGAGCAGTTGAAAAAGGAGATCCACGCCTTAGGGGGGCGTTATCAGACGAGCGTTACAAGGAAGACCACCCACCTCTGTGCATCGCAACGCCAATTCGATACCCTTCAGAAAGACATCTTGTATGCGCGTGACAACGGTGCTCTTATCGTCAGTCTATCGTGGCTCAACGACACGCTCTACTTGAAGGAGCTTCAAAGCACTGACAAGTACGTCCTTCGAAGCAGCGAGAAGACGGGGTCGGAGGGCAGCCCGAGGAGGAGGACGTCCCCAAAGAGTAATCGAGAGAGCCAAGAGGAAAGCAGTGAGGACGAGGAAGAGAGTGACGAAGAGCAGCACAAGCCTCCTACCCGTTCGACCACGCACAGAGCACGGAACAGACGCATGGCAACGCCGCCGGACTCCGAAGGTCGTCGATCCACCACACCCGCTAAGAAGCCGGGTCTGTTCTGGAGCACCAATACGAAAAAGCTCCTCGCCATGCCCCTGCACCCGCCCAAGGATCCGGCACAAGTTGGAAGTAGTTTCATCCAGCTTGTATCCGATCCGGACCAGAAGACGGGCTCGAAAAACAAACCACTCGACGGGCAGATCGTGACCGAAGTGTACAGAGGGCAGCTTCTGGTTGCAGCACCTGGGTTGAACAAAGAATATCCGGAATCCATGAGAGCCTTTCTCGTGCAAGGCAGTCGCTATGCAGGACACAAGGCAAGCTTTCGGCAACTCGGCAAAGTAGCCATGCCGTCAGGCACGAAGGCTGACTTTCCGGGAATGACACTGGACAAGATGAATGTAGTTCTTGTGGCATCCGATGAAGCCGAGAGGGTGTCCCTTGTGCTGTTTCTCGTTGATGGTACGGAACATCTGCAGCTTGCGTCTCGCACAACTCTGAACGACATCCTGGGCAATAAGAAGGGAGATCAAATCGTGATCGGGAGGAGGAAATTGGCCGGACAGAATGTTCCAAAGAAGATGAAGGCGATCGAGGTTTCGCCTGAAGTGTGCGACATGCTTGAGAGGAAGAACGACGGGGCGACTTCGTAGGCTGTTTGGGCTCCTTGGATGTCGCTGGGCGAAGTATCTGGAGTGCCATCAGAAAGGTGCCGTATCGTGAGTAGTACTGTATCTCATACATTGATTCTGTAAGCCACGCAAGTCCTCATCCGTCATCCGTCGAAAGTCGCGAATAACGTGTATGCCTGTCCAAACACCGTGCTACTGATGCTCGCTGCTTTTTATTGTTGTTAATGTTCCTCATCAAGAGTCAGCATTACGTTGGACTGTTTCATCATTCAAACGTATTAGTATGCTGACATTGATTGGACATGAAATTATGACAAGTTCGACTCTAGGAGGGCAAGAGGTTTGCCTTGTTCCACCCATGGATCACACGAGCCCGGCAAATCTTGCAGAAACGACGTCTTCTCGTTTCCAACTATTAGTTTTCCTAGGGTAATGTGATCTGTCCGTTCTTTAATTTGTATCTTTCTGCCGTCTGGGAGGCCATTAACAGTCACTACGGATGCTCACGCACTTTCAGAAGCCAAGTTGAGTAGTGGTCCACACTTTTTTCGCACGTACGTCTACTGAAGGCCAGCTTTCTCAATTTCCTTGAACGCTACAATTTGACGCATTGTTCTTCAGCGAACATGCGAAGACATTATTTCATCTGTGAAAAGTCGCTCATTGCCAAGTAAAATTGGACTTCTTCCGTTAGTCGCACCGGCTCAATGTCGACCTTCCAATCCAGAAGGGCCAGCAGGTTTTTTTCGCCCATGTTTACTTCGTGCTTCTGAAACCCTAATATCTGTCGATCGCCTTCGTAAATTCGACTTACGGTAGTCCAAACTTGATTAGCGAACGCGTGATCCCGTTGGCACTTGTTGGCAACCATCAGACAACTCAAGATAACAAGATGGTTTGTGCACCTCCGGCCACGTCTCTTTATCCTGAATTCGGACAATTTATCGATAAAGAGGCCAAGATAGACCCGCGATGCCATAAGTTCCAAAGGTGTAAGTTTAAGGCGTTTCACAAGTTTGGTGATGAAGGCTTCTAGCGAGGGAAGATCCAGATCCTCCGCACATGCAGCTCCGGTGGCATCAGGCCCAGTCGTATCGCTGTATGTCACGGTAGAAGCAAGCGCGGCTACGTGGGCAATCAATTCCGACTTGACACCCTCGCTTTGGAACCACACGAGCACGTTGGACTTCTCCATATCGAAAGGTTCTAATCTAGATCAGGTGCGTGATAGCGCAGAAACATGGATGGACGGCAGAGTGTCGCTTTTTATGTAGGCCGGCAGCGGCCAGATCACAGCGGTCTAGGCAATTCTGCCTCCAATATCTGTTTCCTCATTTAAATTCGTCTCCATGTTCATTTTCCTTCAGACATTCAAAATGGGCCTGTGCGGTCGAGTAGTCCGAAATTCGCCTGCATACTCACAAGCGACAAGCTGATTCAAGTCACAAGCACATGAGTGCCCATATAAACACTGCAGCTTCCGAATGTGCGGAATAGGATATATTGCGACGAGCCGGTATTGCCGATGCCCAGCTTGATCAGCGTTCTAGTCCGGGAACGCATGAAGGAGACATTGCCTCTCTTTTATCCTGAGATCTCTGCCGACTTACCTTCCCATCCTCACCATGCGTGTTGACATGACCGTTCCGGAGAGATTCGTTCTACCTGAGTTATTAGAAGATGAGGGAGAAATTCAGTTATGCCCACGCCCGTTGGCGTTGCCTCCACGGCGCTCCTCTCAGAAGCCTCAGGACTCTTTCGAAGCGGCGTTGAATGCAAAGATCAAGGGTCTTCGCGACGAGAACGACAAATTGAAGCAAGAGATGTACACATTGCGCGACAAGCAGCGCAGTAATCACGGACGCCTGGAAATCCTGCGCGAGCAGGGAGGTTATCAACGACAGGTGCTTCGGGAGCAAACCAGGGAGATAGCGGAGGTATCAGCGTAGTGGGGGAGGTCTTTCTCGAGTATGAAGACTGGGTGCGAAGGTCGATGGGCTTCGGGGTATCTTCACCCTGAATGGATCCTCCAAGCAGTTAGCCGCTCGTCCTCAGACCTCGTTTGCCGTATATGGTGAGCGGAGCGAGACGTGCTTCTCCTTCGGATGCGGCTTGCGTGGCACAATCAGCAGTCAGAATACTCAATCACAGCAAACGTCATCTTCCATATAGATTGCAAGCGGACATCGTAACGCAGCTCGGTTTTAATCCACTATGAGATGGACTCAATGCATTGTTCCGCCCAGAGACTACTTCCTGCCCTTGGGGGCGGCCGGTCCAGCCTGTGCAGCCTGGCATCGACCATGCGTTAGTCGGGAGAGATAGGATCAGTGCAAATTAGAAAGCCACGAATCAATGGTCAATAATCTGATTTATTCTAACGTTCCGCAGCGACTTGGGTCTCTGCGGTACTGTGGCCAGCTCGTGCCCGGCTGCGCAACCGCGCGGCTATGGTGTTCGCTCAACGAGGAAGTCTCATGTCGGATCTGACACGGGGTGCGCCGCTGTACACCCACCACCGCCGCTAAACGACGGATCTCATCGACACACCGCGATGACCCTATTCGTTCACTATAGCTGCCTAGGCAGTCGAGAATAAATTCTAATAGCTTCCACTACAGTCCATGAGAAACTCAGAATCCAGAATCATGCCATGCTTTATTCAGGATTGCGACTATCCGGGATAGGCCTCAACAGGAGAAGAAGAATAACGGCCATATCTACGCTACTGTGCGCCTGCGGGTTCGCTGTATTGGGCTAGCCTGCGTCCACTCACCTTTACCATGGAAAGGTTGCCCTATGAGATCATCCACGAGTTCGTCTCGTATCTAGACTCACGAAGCCTTCTCAATTTGGCACTGACTTCCAGTCACTTCAACTATGCCTGCTTGTCCGAGGCGTCGCGTCACCTCTGCGTACTCAATACCCTTTCGGCACTGTCGGGCCTGACGCAGCATATTAAATAAACAAACCCGCTCACACGAGCGCTCACGGTGTATTACGGCGAGTGGCCGAAGTGCGACTATAAAATATGGCAGCTTTACCCGCTCTAGGTGTACGAGGCGTACCCTTTTGTGTCGCAATCTCCGTCGAAGAGGGAAAATGCTTTGTAGGCCTTCCGATACTATCGTCACTTCGTAGCGGCCGAGGAGTCTAGAAGTCGCTATGGAGACATCCGTCGATTGAACTAGATTTTAAGTTCTCTGCTATAGCTCGAGCAGATCATAATCTCCTATGCCTATTCCTATGCGCGGAAACTGAAGAAAAACGCTTAACTCACCCGACTGTGCTAATAGATCTGGCTATTTCCGGGCCGGAGAGGCTTAATCGATCGTCTAGTCGGTGACTTTTTGATAATACTTCCTAACTACGCCCGTATCCAGGATCTCAAGATTGAAGGCGAACTGAGGCTTGAGTCTATCGGCCCTCTGTACGCGGCGCTGCGTTCGGTGACTAGGCTCGACATTAGATCATTGAGTATGGCAAATACTACTGTAATAATATTTAATGTCTTTCTGTCTTCGTTTCCCGCTTTATAAAATCTCTACGTTAACTTTAGCCGCTGCGATCCGCCTACTCTCATTCCTCTCGATCGCGTGCCCTGCCCTAAGCTTCGCTCCGTATCTCTTGCTAACATGTATGTAGGAGTCCTCGCGTTGGTACGTTTCATGTAGCGCTACCCTGCTTTGGAAGTGTTACAACTTGACGAGCCAAGACTGGTGGACGGCCGGAGTGTGTTGTGCTACCCCCGCGACTGGTTAGTTAGCATCGACTCCAGATTGACGCTACGAATAACGAGCGCTGCCCCGGATCCCGGTGGCGTTACTAGCTTCTAAGTGAGCATGCTGGACACGAACTCTATGTAGATACTCGGTAGTCCGGCAGGGTTTTGGTAGAACCGAGGCGAGGATTTCCGACTGATGGTAAATTGCGGGGATACGCCTGTAAGGTACAGAGACATGATAAAGACAAGCGAGAATAGAGCTCGCGCAGAGAACGCGCTGGTGAGAAACCGACGAGTCGGAGAATCTTTTGACAACCTAGAATAGAGGAAGAGTGTGCGCAAACAAACAAGCCTGTACATACAATCCAAAACGAGTGTACCATTAAAACCCATCCACCTCACCCAATTAGGACGTGATCCGATCGTTTACATCTTGGATTTCTGGTTTCTGGTCAAAACAAGCAGCTTTCTGCTTCGCCCATACGTCAGCCCCGAATCGCGATGTGATTTCTCGTTCACAAATCGCCATTGCTTCGTCTCCAACTACATCACAAAGCTGGACTTCTGTGGGAGCCCATTCAGCCTTGCAATACATGGTGCCGTTTCTGAAAGCAAAGTTTGTGAGATTTTCCACGTCATAAACCATGGATCTGTCAAGCTTGACAGCCTTCGGGGCTTTTTTCCTCTGCGGCTGTGGTTCGATCGATGATTCTCTGGCGCGCTTTGTAGGACGGGATCGTGCAGAGCCCGGCTTCGACCGCGACAACGCTGGTGGGGAAAACTTGTCACTACAGACCCTTCTTCATCGCTGCGTTGTGAGGCTTCATGGGGCATCACTTACGTGCTTTCTTTAGTTTGTGATGAGCTAAAAGATCAGTTTGTGGAGATGCGTCACTGAGAGTGGCTACTGTCTTGCCGATTTCGAGCAGGCCATATGGTAGAGCGGCAGGGGCTGCCACATCGGGGGTCAGGCTGCTGACTTTTGGACTAGTCGCCGTTTGCACCGCTTCCTCGGCGAACAAGACCGCTTGACCGACTGGACGATGGTCATGGTCGGGGTTGTCTGAAGACCGAACGGAAGCAGCCTTGGCATATCCGATGTGTGGTTGCACAGCCTGTTTAACTGTTGCGGTAGTTGTTGGATGTGGGACTGCAGGCCTCTCGCCTGGAGAGTGCAAAGTGCTCCAAAGGCTCATGGTGTGTATTCTGGTCGTTGCACAGGGTGAGTGGAAGGAGGAGCTGTGTTGAGAGGATGATGAAATGTGTAAAGTGGAAGGGAAAACCTCTGTATTTATAG